AATATATATATATATATATATATATATATATATATATATATATCCAAATATGTGGTTTTAATATAAAAAAATAACCGTCCACAAACATAAGCAGAAAAGGAATAAGAAATATAATACCCACATAAAAAATGTCATATAATCCACCAACAGTAACCACACTATTTTAAATCAATACGCATACTTTTTAACTTTTAATACAAAGACAATTGTTACAGATATTTTACTCTAATAGAAATTTTGAATTTTTTTTAACGATTTCAACTGAACATGCAAATATTGTAATGATAATATATTCAATAAACTTAAAATTTCACTAATATAATAAAATACCTTTTCATCAACTATTTGGTCTTCGTCATTCTTTTTCAAGTTCTCCACTGATAGACGAAGATCCTATCGTCCTGTTCTGAACTTGAGAAATATTTTGCATATGGATTGGATCATGTATATACTTAAATCATCTCTCTTCCGTCATTTCAGTCGCCGATTCAGCATTATCTATCATTTCTTGAGTAATAAATAGATTAAAAGATGTAAATAGATAGACAATTGATGATTAAGTTGTATACAATCCTTTTAGATTAGGCCATTAGAGAGGGATCTCCAGGTTTTTAATATCCAAAACCCTAATTGAAAACCCTAATGAAATTGCAGAAGTTACTACTCAACTAAACAATAAATTTTTTGAAAGATTTAAACAAAATCAAAATCAGCAAACAAACCTCAAAATCAAATAAATATGCATACCTTAATTAAAAGAACTATTGTGCATATCTTTGGAGATATATTTTTCAATTTCTGAAGAAAAAAAAGAAGAGAAAAGAACACAAGACAAAGAATCACGGGTCGAAAGAATGAAGAAAAAATAAAAGAGAAATTCGTGGGAGAGTTTGTTTTTTGAAATATATGAGAAAGAACTTGTTGGGAAACACATAACTAATGTAAGATAAAAAGGAACTAAAATAGTATACACATAACTAATGCATACCACAATCTCACAACTATAAAAGTAATTCAAGCTTTGATAATACTAACTACCATAGAATTGATATATTATATGGGACCAAAAAATAATTTCCAGATTCTCACATTATTCCAAAAAAATGTAGCATGCATTATTCATGTCGAGCTCTAGCTCATACTTTAAATTACAATCACAAATATATTCACACAACATGAGTTTAGCAACACACATTTATGTTGTGAATGAATGACATTTCTAGAAAAGTTGCATCTTTAAATGAGCTACTCCAATTTAAGAAGGATGAGACCTGTGTTAGGGCAAAGGAGAAAAGTTTAAGAAACAACATTGCACTTCAAAAGTTCTTTTTTCTATCTCCCATCTCATTCTTCTCTCCGTTGCCATCGAAACTTCAAAAATATACATGTTCGGATCACCATAATCCTACCAACCTCCATTAAGTAGATCTCCAAGCCTTAAGCCTTGAGCTTCTTATGATGCAACAATTTCCAAAACATTGGCATACCATATAGATTCAACTCTAAATTGACCAGTGGAAATATCTTTACAGGGTATTTGTACTAGCCTAAAGGAATTTCTTTATATCTAGTCTGATGTTTATTCCTTTAATCAAATTACTCGTTTTGATCTTCTTGAGCTACGAAAATATGTTGATTCGATACATGTTACCTACAACAAAATGCTCTTACTTCTCCAATCATATCTCTAGATTTGGAAGTCCAAACAGTTTGTTCATTCTTCATTTCATATTCAATCATTTTCACCTCCCTTGACTTTATTATGTATAAGTCGATTCGTTATGCAATATTATATCCTCTTTTGGAGGTATGTACTCAGCCTTCATATTTGCAACCTGCAAATTCAGCAATTAGACCACAGTCACATAGGAACAGTCAAAAAATTAGATTGTATATAGAAGTCAATGTAATTAAGCCTCATTGGCCTTCAATTTTTTTCCTTACTACAACCATTGACACCCTTTCATGAAAATCATCTTAACAAAAGCAATAGAATTTCCCTTGCGACACCTTTGAAGAGACAAACTTTCTCTACCGTCGGTAAAAAAACAAATGGTGCCTGATGCTTTTGCAAATTGTCTTGGAAAGTTGTTCAATCAATTCATGTCGGTTTAAACTCTCTACCCTGAATCTTAAACACATTTAAGCGAATATTTAGTCCTTAATTAACTATTGTAATCTTTCATCTTATTTACTACTTAGGTATAATAAAATATATTGATTTGGTGAAAATATCGAATGCATTTCGAGAGGCAAGTAGTCCATAGTACATACCTTTCTCTTCGACCAATAACAATCGTATAGAAAAACAAAAACCTTTTCTTGAAAGTTACAATGCCCTTCCAGTCAGATAACTAAATCCATTTGTGCTATAAATGTTTTGTTTATTCAAACATTATGCAAGTACCTCGATTAAAAGGAGCAAGAGGCATTATGCATATCCAAAGGTGAGTGATACTCGCAAAGAAACCAACTCAAAAGACGGGGCATTTAGGAGAGCTGAAACACTGAATCAGATGTCACCTTTAAGTTATCTTCCAGAATGTGAGTGAAGTAGTTCTGCAATTCAGTTCAGCACATGAAATCCAATGTTGCTTAAATTCTATTTGTCTGCAACATAGCATAACAAATAACTCATTTAGTGATCAAAATATTTGTACACACTCATACTGCAAAGTAAAGTGACAGAAATTAAAATGAAAGAGGATGTTTCATCGTAATTTTCACAAACAGGTAGAGGGCAAAGTAGAGTCGATTAATAATTTTTTAAAAATAACATGCTTTTTTCCCCAAATCAATTGAGAGAAGAACGAAAACAGTGACTCAGAAAAATAATCCAATTACTTCATTTCCTTAAATAATAGAGATCCAAACAACCCATTTGCAAATGTATGTTAAAATAAAAAGAGAAATCAATGATTTAGTTATTCTTGGATAGCACATGGAAAATCAACAATATTCAGGGACCATCGGTATTAAAAACACAGTATGAATCAAGGAATTGATAGTTTCAAGTTTCAACCAGAACAGAGCAAATAAAATTTAAAAAATCACAATTTTCAGCCAGTATTCACATCAAAAAACGAAATAATTTGAAACTCAACTCACAAAATTCATAAACACTCACCTAAAGCTCCAACTCAAACCATCAAGACCCCAAAATCACAATAATGATGGAGTATAACACAAACAGAAAAAGTATGAGAAGGAGATACCCACGTGTTTTTTCAAGTGTAGGATGAAAGCCACGTATTGTGTACAGTGAATTGAAAAGTCGAAGTTACCCTTAGCATAAACATTAATGACAAAAAACAAGAAGGTTGATACCTTTGCCATTACTCATACTTCTAATATATTACAAATTCATTACTCATGCTTCTAATATAGTACAAATTTTTAAAGTATGTATATTTTTACTAATTATTTAGGTTTTTGACAAGATTGCTAATTTTCCCTAGATTAATATCAATCAAAAATTAACTTCTAAAAAATATTAGGTCTGTGTGCTGCATGGACACTTCGTCACTAGTGTGTCCATGCAGAGCACAGACAAAATCGTAATTTTAAGTTTACTCCATCTGCACTATGTATAACACGTTTTGGCCTTCCATTCTCAATACATCTTTTTTTCTAATTGAATGTTAAATTTTTCATTTGCTTTCTTCTTTTCTGTATTGAATTTCGTTATTTTTAGAAGAGTTTTTCCATGCCTTTGTATTATTCCTAATCTACTTCTTTTGAAGGGGTTAATATTTTTAAAAGTTTTGGCAAAAGAATTTCATATTTCACTATTTCTCTAATTAATGACACTTTGCGCACTCAAGGTATTCGATAATATTCCTGATAGCACTATCAATAGTTGTGTTATGTTTCTGTGTTCATAGATTTTTCATTATATTTCTTTATATTGTGCAATCACTAGAAGATGCATCATCATGATAAATTAGAGAGATCTAATTCCTTTTATAAAAATATGTCTACTAGAAGTTGTATATGCATGTTAGAAGTTGTTCCTCATTTCGACATGCATTATGTAAATTTGATGTATTTTGTGTGCATTAACAACTAATTTGAGGCGGATAATGCACCTAATGTATTTGATAATATGTTTATCAGAGATAGAAAATAAACTTTTAGATTCTATTTGATTTTGAATGAAACATGCAAAATTATTAAAGTGTGCATTTTTCATGTTCTTAATTAATCAAGATCTGTTTATCAGCTTTTTAAATACTCAAGTAAAGACATTATACTCTTGTAAAGATGTATTATATTTTAAATATTGCAGTACACCTAATATAATTCCCAATATATTTGGAGTCTACAATGATGCTTGAAAATAAAGCTTACTTCTATATTACTTTCTCTTACGATAAGAACATAGAAGAATCACACAACAACACTTAATGTACGAATAACCGATTGAAGTAATATTTATACTCCAGTATCAGATCTTAATGGATGGAGAAACAGATGATAGTAGAGTACTTTGAATAAAATACTATTTCTGCAGTTTCTCTATTTTCTTTATTTTAAATCCCCACATCCAAAAATTTCTACTATCAACCAAAGGAGTTAAGTTATATAGCATGTTGTATAGGTTATAACATTAGTTACAAATTTCTTAAAGTTATTTTTTCGTAACTTGATAATGCAAAATAAAAATTTATATACACATGCCAACACAATACATAAGAGATGAAGGAAGAAAAGGAGTGTGATGGACAGAACATGAAGATTCTCAATCAGGACTAACATAATTCATAAGCCATCTCTTTTGTTTCTTGACAAACTTATATTTGATCTTAATTATCAAGTGTTTTTAACATTGTTGAAAAAGTGAAATATGTAACTAGAAGTGATAGCATAATCCTCATGATCATCCACTAACAGATTGCACATGTCTGGTCTTTGAGGTGCAAAAGTCACTTTTCTTAGTGCAATAGTTGGGAGAGCTACAGTAGCCTTGTAAGAAAGGTTTATCCTCTTTCTCAATTTTCAACTAATGTGACCTTTTTAGTTATGTGTACTGATATGTTCTTCATATAAAAGTCAGTGTTTTATCTACCTTTTTTCAAAAATAAAAAAATACAAGAAATTGCTTACTTTTGTCCAAAAAGTTGATGGGAATGTGGTCCCTTAAATTTCTTTTAAGAAAATTCTCTACTTTAGAGGTTTCATTCAAGCTATCATTGTTAGCACTTGGTTTGTACTGGATCAAGTGATACTAGAATAAGGATTCTCAAATGACCTGACAAACTACTAATGAGATCTGAGTTTTCAGAATCTTTTCGTTGGACAAGTTTTCTTAATTGCCTCTTTCCCTTCTTAGTGTGTAATCTTGAGCTTAAAGTTATCTAATATGGGCATGAATTACTTAACTCATACGAAATTATGGGTTAAACTACTTAACTCAAGGACTACTCATAGGGTTTATGCAAAATTATGAACATGAACCACTTAACTCAAGGACTCAAGCTCGACTAATAGGGTTCATGTGGAATTATCAGAATGAGCTGCTCAAATCAAGGAATTCATGGATAACATGTTATAGTGTCATGATTGTAAATAAAATCTCATAGGGGATTAAGAATAAATACTGAAGACTTAGAACTTAAAGATATTACTCTTCTCCATGATACTCATATTTATGGAGTACATGCGAAATTTATGGGCATAAACGACTCGACTCAAAGGTCTACATAACTACATGGAACTCATGTATACAACTATTCTCATTCTATTAGTTTCTTTCTCAAATCTTAGTTCAAAACAATGATGGATCTCAAAGAATTCACAATTAAACTTAAAAGCTTTCTTGAACTCTACTATTAACTCTGTCTCTTGAATGTGAATTATGAATTCAAGAGTTATGATTCATGATATGAAGGATCTCATGATGACAAAGTAGACTCATGAAGTCTCTTTCCTCATCCTCTAGTACTTATTTACTCGAGCCTTGAAACAAATTAGTAGAAGTTGTAGAAACTAATCAACATGACTTTCTTAGAATGTTCGAACGAATTCTTAACACTTAACTCTCAATTCTACCTTGAATTTGAATTATGAATTTAAGATTATGATCATGTTAGGAATGATTTTAGATTAAAAAAAATAATTTTTTTGAAGAATCTTGGATAAGAACTTGAATAGAAACCTTGAAACCCTAGCTTGAAGATAAATGATCAAGAAAACATTTCTTGACATTCTTGAATTAGTTTCTTGAAACTTATATGGTCAAGAATTATGTTTTTCATTAGTAAAGATGAAAATATGATTGTTTTGAAGATTTTATTAATCAAGAAATTCGTTTAGAATTTTCTTGGAGGTAAAAAGACAAAATCGACTCTTTGTAATATTTTTTCCGTCGGCTAGTTCATAACAGCACTGTATAGGTTACTAAAATCGTCATAACTTCTTACTCAGAAATTGGATTGGCGCAAAAGGTGACATTGAAAAGTAGATTCAATTACCTTTAATTAAAATAGGTTATGACTCACGTAACTCTTAATTTTGAGATATATGGTCGTTTAAAGTTTACCCAAGTAGAATCTTAAATCAAAACTTAATGAAATTTCAAGAACACTTATCAAAAACTCATCAAGAACTCTAATCTTTCAACTTTAAGAATGAAGTTGCGCTGAATATAACATGATTGGCGAGTGTTTTAATAAACCGAACACTATGAAAGCTTACATACCTATTAGGAATTAGATCCATGGCTAAAATCCGTAACTAAACTCAAGAATGTCGACGAACATCTTCATCCTTTTCTCTTTTCTCCTCTTTTCTCTTCTTTTCTCTTCTTGTCTCTTCTTGAACTCTCAACTAAAACCTTACGTATATTATGATTATAAAACTGAACCAAAAAGGATTAGACCCATAAAATATTATTAAAATAAATAAAGTCTGATTGGGTAAGGAAAGGACCAAAATATCCCTCACAATTTTCCGCTAGCTTTCTTTCACTGGACAACCTAACTTCAAAAGGTCATATCTCGCTCATCCGAACTCGAAACATAGAAAGCTCGGCGGCGTTGGAAATTATTCAAAGATCTTTCCTATGGTATCTTGTAGAACACCTAAATCATCTTGTGCTAGAAGTTATGGTCGTTTGAAGTTGACCAAAAACTCATACTTAGTTTAACTTGCAGAATTTCAGATTTTGCTATTTCCAAGTTGGTTCTTTTTGGAACTCTTGGTGCTAAATCTAGTAAAATGACCGTAATACTTAAGAAATTTATAATTCCTTGATAAAATCTCATTCACTACGATGAACAGTTTGAGTCTTAGTTCGAAAATTTTCTGGGGTGCTACATGATCATTATTGCCTGTGCACCAAATGAAAAACTGCAAACCTTAGTAAATATGTAAAATTGACAAGTATCTTACATTTTTGGAGTGCTATTTGAATGTGTTTCAATAGTTTTTGCTAGCGAGTTTTTCCATTTAAGCATTTAGGTCTGCCAACTGATTTTTTATTATTATTTTGAGATCCTCTGAAGATTTAAATGACATGCATCCATTTTGGGTCTTTGACAAAGATTCTCTGCTTGCAATAAAATAAAAAATATTTAAATGAAAGCAATTGGGCCAAAAGGAATTCGGTTATGGATGATTTATATAGTTGTCTCTAATTTTGTTCCTGATTGAAGCTTAGTGGAGTTCTTTTCATTTTGAAAAATTTTAACACATTGAAGGATGATTTATATTATAAATTGACTTTCACGGCTCTTTGGAATTACAACCCAGGAAGCAATTTTCATGAAACAAGGGACAATACTATGTTAAATTCTTTTTAGTAATACAAAATCTAACGGTGTTATTTTAATAGTCGTCATATTTAGATGAATTGTTCATTGAGCAGAAGAATATTGTTATGATATGATAGTTCAAAGTGCTTGGTCTGCTTGATAGTGTATCTGAATAGTTTAAAAGGCAGGGGAGCTGAGAACTTCTCAACTGCCGAGGGAGTCTCAAGTTCTTCTTTCTGTGTTTTTTTTTAATAAAGAAAGTATGTTAATTTATGTATCTAAATTGTATAATTCTGGTGCTATAAAGGAGACATCGTTTTTTCATTAAATTTGTTTTTCTTTTTCATTGTTAATTTTTTCAAGGAGACATCCTGTAAGGATAATGTAAGCCGACTATCTTAAGTTACTAAGTTGTAATGCGAGTGAGAGAAGGCAAACAACATATCAAAGTAAATAATCTCTTCACTGA